CCCCCCCCCCCACCATGGGACACCCATTCATAGACTCATAGAAAGGAAAGGCTTATGGTTTATGACTTCCTTTCTTTGGAATTGTCCTCTCCATTTGAGAATGGGGGGCTGGAATGGGAAAAGGGGTAAGAGAAGGTGCTGGCTGGGCAATCTTAAATTTGGAGCAAAGAGGAAGCATAAGAAAGCAGGAAGGATGGCTCTTAGGAGGTGGAACTCAGTTTCTCCTGGGACGTATCTCCCCAGGAGAGAGCAAGCTTGTTGATGGAGACCATCTCCCTGCTGCCCTGTGGGATTTTGCAGTATCTCTCCCTTCTGCTGGCTTTTCTGTACCAGCCGAATGTCTAAAATGAGTCTGTAACCCTTACCGGGCTCAGAAAAATACGAGTGTGGCATGAAGATAAGTAGTCCTTGATAAGCCTAATAGAGCTTGAAATAGCTTTAAACAAGCAGCCATGTTCGTTTTTAAGGTCTTTTTAAAACACAAGGAACACACACACACATCTGCTAGACACACACACTGACAGAATCTGTGGGGGAGATGGATTATTTCCAACTCACTAATCACCGTCTCAAAGACGAAACACACACACCTACTCAACATCTTTTTTCCAAGTGATCTGGTAGGTCCTGTTCCGTTTTCTCTTTTCAAAGAATATTCTTTCAGCTCATGGGCGGGTCTGTGAGGCGGCAGGGAAATCGGATGAAAGAGATATTTGAAAACGAGAGGGAGAAGGCGTCCTTGGAGCCTTTAAATTACCATAACTAAGGGACAGGCCTCCACATTGATGAAAAGCCCCAGGACCCAGCAGCATTAAGAGCAGCCCTCGCTATGGAGAGAAATCAGCACCATGGAGCTCCGAAAGATGCCGTTCTCCAGCGCCCCCTGGTGGGCAGAAGGGGGCCTTGCCGCACCAGAATTTTCGACTCCAACTTGCAAATTTACAAACACTGTCCCGCTGCAAAACAGATTAAAAAGAATGGGCAGCCCCCACAAAGGAAAAGTGGGCCAAAGACACGATGGTGGAGTTTGCACCAGAGGAAAAGCAAACACTGTTTTCACTTATTCAACACTTACTGTGCCTACTTTGTGCAAGCTAAGTGTTAGGTTTGGCAGTACAACTCTAGGAGACAGGCAGCTTCCCTGCCTCGCGAAGCTTAGGATGGGGGAGCGACTGGAAGCAAGTGATTCCAAAGGGGATGAGAAGTCCAGAGGCCTGGTCTGAAAAGTGGGGAAGGTTCCCTGAGGATGTAGTATTGAAAGCTTGTAACTGATGTGTATGAGATAGCTAACTAAGCATGCGAGAAATTTAGTAAAAAGCAAAGCATTTAGCCCGGGCTGGCGTGACTCAGCGGTTTAGCATCCCTCTAGGATCCAAATCACTGTTCGATTCCTCGTCAGGGCACCTGCTTGGGTTGAGGGCTCGATCCCCAGTAGGGGGCAGCCAATCAATGACTCATCGCTGATGTTTCTATTTCTCTCCCCTTCTCCCTCCCTCTCTCTGAAATCAAGATTATATTTTAATAAAGAGCACACAGGAACATTAGTGGCAGTGATGCTTGCAAAACTATGGATGCCACAAACCCACTAAAAAACTATTCTTATCTACTTGGCTCTCTGTATGCACACTTGTTTATAACTACAAATGATGGAAACCCAAAGAGACTAGAATGCCATACAGTAGTCCTTTCAGTCAGTTTTGTTTTCCATAGTTTGTTACCTACAGCCAACCAGCCCCAAAACATTAAATGGAAAATTCCAGAAATAATTCGTTTTAAATTGTGCACCACTCAGGTCCTGTGATAAAATCTCTCGCAGTCCCTTCATCCTGCTTGGGGTGCGAATTACCCTTGTTTGGTGCATCCATACTACATATGCTTAGCCAGCTGGCCAGTCAAAAAAACCTTCAACTGTAGAGGATCCCCAACCACTGACATGGCCATGGCTGAGTGACCCAGGATCACTGAAGCAGATGTTCCCGAGTTGTCAACAGCCTAATGCTGTCACAATGCCTACTTCATCTCAGCACGTAGGTGGTTTGTCATCTATCACACAGGTGAATACATTTTGAGACCACTCACTTTTTATTAGTTTAACTGTCCCAGTATTGATCTTACTGTATCCAATTTATAAATTAAGCTTTATCATAGGTATTTACGTACATGTAATAAAACAGTCTATACAGGGTTTGGAACTATCCACCGTTTCAGGCATCTACTAAGTCGTGGACCACATCTCTCATGGACAAGGGGGGACTACTGTACTATGCAGCAGTAAAGACGGACACTTTTTTGGCAATGCATTGTTATCTATGTACCTATAATACAGTATAATAGGTTTTTGGTTAAAAAAAGAGGGTAAATATACTCACTTGCAGTATATGCTTTAATAAACTAATGACTGATTACGGGGCTGAGGTTCAGAATTAGGTGGGGGGAAAAATGGATGTTAAATCATTGAATAGGATGAAAGCCTGTGACCTGGAAAGACATTTCCTATCCGTGTACTTTAGTGAAGATGGGGAAACGCTACTTTACATTGGAAGCTGCTGGATGAGAGCTGAGAAGCCAGACCCTAAGGAAGCTAAGAGCACTGCTCCAAGGCCAATGAAGGTCACCGAAGCTGTTTCCACCCCTCTAATCCCCTCCTCTGGTTGAGTCAAACCACAATCCAGGCAGCCGAGAATTAAAAAGACACAAAGGAAACAGATCAGTTGTTTAATCGGGTTCTTCGTAAGAAATTTAGAATACCAGTTTGTGAGGATAAATTCCATTGGTGAGAGCAAACAAAGAGCGGAGGTAGCCCTGGAGCTGAGGGACAGCTTTGATTTTAGGCAGAAGCTGCGAGTCCACGGCTTTCTGGTCAACCTTGCGCTGCTCCGTAATCTCGTATTTCTAAAAGAGAAAAGCATGTAAAAGTTGGGCACAAGTACCCCAAACTCCTGGATTAACAATTAACCACCTAAATAATCTCAGGAATATTTGGAGGGCAGTTTTGATCGCTTTCCTTGGAGGGCTGTGAAATATAACCTGTTTTTAATATAACAAAAACAGCACTCTTATCCCTTTCGTCTACTGCAGAAACACATCAAAGATGCATGCGTTCTGTCATAAGTTCAGGATTCTGAGTTGAGCTCCCACCTGCCATTAAGAACTGTTTAATAGAATCTGGAACAGTATTTTCCCCGAGAGTTTACCTTTCTTTTTGTGTAACAACTTCACCTTGTTTATTTTCACTCCTGAACTGGGAGGGAGGGCCATCAGAGGCAAAGGCAGTAACAGCAGCTCACCTCTTTCTCTGTGTCGAAGATCTCACCCTCCTGGTGCCGGGGTTTGCGCAGCTTCTTCTTCTTGAAGTAAGCATCAGTGAGATGCTTGGGGATCTTCACGCCACTGATGTCAATTTTGGTGGAGGTGGCGATGACAAATTTTTGGTGTGTTCTCCGCAGAGGAACTCGATTAAGGGACAAGGGTCCTAAGGGGGGGAGGAAATCAATATAATGAGGGAAAGGGAAGCAAAGATATCAGAACTTTCGGCCAGCTTGCCCAGAAGTACAACTGTGATGAGATGATCTGCAGCAAGTGTTATGCCCACCTGTGCTGTCAACTGCCACAATAAGTGTGGCCACACCAAGAACCTGAAGCCCAAGGAGGTTAAATTAAGGTCCCACCACCACCACCTCGGGTCCACAGGTGGTGCCTGAACCCCGCGTTCTCAATAAGGTTTCCCTTACCCAATCAGGAACTCCAATCTAGCGCCAAGTGGCAGACCAATTACAAGTCTTAGGTAGGAAGCATTCCTTGAGGCTAGTAGCCAACATTCTGCATTTTAGGTGACAGTTACTTGATGATATGTTGCCACATAAAATTTAAATACCGGCTTCCTTAGAATTCATGTATATAAAGCAAATGAGATGGGGCTCATGGCACTAAAACTTCCATGTAGGTGGAAGCAAAAGTGTAAATTGCAAGCATTTAAAAAAGACAAGTTTCAGAGAGTGTAAAATCCAAGGATTTTCTTACCAGTTACAAGTAGCAAACCACTGCTCAGCTGCTTCAGGAAAACCACCCTCTGTAAATGAAAGAAATACCAGACATCCATGCAATTAGAAACTGACTTCCCAATTAACCAAATCATAGGTTTCTAAATTGGTAAAGGAAATGTCTATGTATGTACATGTGCAGCAGTTCTGGAAGCAACTATACCAAACTGCTAACAGGAGGGACACAAGGATATGAGCAGTACTTCTGTGAGCTTGTTCTTTTTAAAAAACAAGCAGCCATTACTTTCCACAATAAGAAAATTAACATCCTTTAACTCAGTAATTCCACCCCTGCAAATCTAACCAAAAGAAGTAACTCAAATATATAAACATTTTTGGGTACAGGGACATCTGATTCCACTGTAACAAATTATACCACCAACAGCAGGAAGTGGTAATAAATTAAGTGTACATAATGGACTAAACCTTTTATGCTAGCTACTGGTGCTGGTATTAACATAGGTACAAAGAAATCCTACCAGGAACGTACACTACGATCAAGCACCCCAGGCACCGCTCAGCTCACCTTGCCTCTGTGGCGCCCGGTGAGGATGATAAGAACGGTCCCGGGAGTGATGCTGGCCCGCAGTTTCCTCACATGCTGGCTGAAGGGTTTCTTGCCGTGGCTCAACAGCTTTCGAGGCACGTCTTCAGTAGGATAATACCTAGGCTGGAGAGAACCCATAGATCCAACTTTACTTAAATAAGCTAATCAGGTTGGCAGAGCCGATTTTTAATTTGGAAAAGATCAACAGTTTTTTATCCTTTATGTGCGAAACAGGGTGAAATCCATTTAATCGAAGGAGCTGAATGTTCAAGCAAAGACAGAATCGAGCAAGTTACACTTGTAAACTTGGGATTAAACCAAACTTTAGAGATTACATGACAAGCTACCATCATACACTGTCATGATACAGTGATTCTCAAGCTTTTCTGAGGCTCCTGACTATACTTCTCCAGAATTTTGCATGTTACAGAGTAGGCATGGCTTGTTTTCTAATTCAAATTAAGTGTATTCCTATCTGTCCATTAACATGATTCCTCCTATTTTATCCACAAAGGAAACAAATTGTACAAAACCAGACAGTTTAGACCAGGACTGCCAGTGCAGTTATAAAAATAAGGCCCCACGCAAAGGCTATTAAGGATGCAACCAGTAACTCACAATAACCTATTTATAATTAGACTATCATTTTAGTGGACAGTTCTGCTTTTACCACAAACAATACCTGATAGAAAAATCAGCTCACAAAACCTGTGACAGGAAGGAATCAAAGTGACACTTTCCCTCTTGGTGCAGCAATCTTCAACTGTGAAGACTGTAATAAATCTGGGGATATTTCCATAATGGAAATTACAGGGTAAACCTTAAAAGGCTGGGTCTCCTGCGTGGTAAAGAGGAGCCAAGAAACACTGCTCTGGTGGATCACTGTTCTATGGGCCTGGCAGTGAGTGTCCTAGGTTCTCTGTATTATTTGACTCTCACCACCACCATGTGCAACAAACATTTACTTGTTTTACAACCGAAGAGACAAAAGCACAGAAACGTAATTCTACTTCGTATCAAACAGTAAGTGATAAAGCCAAGTTGCAAACCCAGAACCCATCTTCCGCCACAAGTAATTCTCTGGTAAACGTAAAACTTCTAAAACCTGAGCGCGCCCGCGCGCACACACAAAAAGAAATCCTAACAGTATTCAAGCTTCAACTAAACATCCAATTGACGGGGCCGGGGGGGGGTCCCCTGACGCTCACCATTTTGCGAAGTTTGACCACTCGGGTACCACCATTCTTGTCCCCACCAACTGGTTTTGTGACAGTAGCAAGAACTTTCTCTTTTTTCTTTTCAATCTGTCAGGACACAAAAGCCAACAGAGTCAGAGGCAGACAAACATTCTGAAGGTGAAGACATGATGTACACTACGGACGGTCCAGTGGTCCCCCCTCACCTCTTACCCTGGATTTAGCAGCTGAGTACTTCCTCTTGTACATGGCCTTTCGGGAGTACATCGCCGACCGGGAATATCTGCCGATTCCTCGGACCAGGACCGGGTTGCGGCTGCAGTGGGGCTTCCCCTTCTTAGGGGTCTTGGCCTTACGGTTACCCTTCTTAACCTTGCCGCCTGCATCAGCCTTCTTGGCTTCAGGTTTTTTTTCCTTAGTGTCAGGTTTCTTCTCCTTAGTATTCGGCTTCTCGGTTTTCTTTTCACCCGCCATCTACCAATATATATATACACACATATACTTTTTAAAAAAGCACTCACCAATTATCCCGTAACAAGGCAATATCGCAGCTGTACAAGGACGGGGTTCCCAGAAGACGAGCCCTCCCTCTCCAAGGAGCTGAAACATCGTTTTCATCCCTCCCCACAGAAGATACAGGCGTCCCTCCAAACCCCAAACACGTGCAACCGCCTCACCATGGTTTAATTTGGGGGTTGTCTTTCCAACACACTATAAACTTCCCGAGGATCTGAAGATACTTTACACTCTTTGGGTGCTTGCTAAATATTTCGTGGTCAAAAGTCCCTATCCCATGATTCCTGTTTTGCGAATTAAAAAAAACACCACCACACACACACAATAAGCTGCACAGCTAGGAAGGAATTTGGAACCGTTTCCTTCCAGGGCTTTTGCTCTTATCACAGTATCTACTGTCTCATTGAAGAAATTCAGCTTAGGAGACGACCACATGTACACACTCGTCCAAACTCTGGCCACTTTGGAAAAAAAGCCCAAAGCCCAGGAGGCGACTTCCGGTCGCGGACGTGGGGGAGATGGGAAGGTAGCGCCGGGCCTCTAGCCCCGAAACCCAACGTGGCTGAAACAAGCTCAGCGGCATCCTTTGGAAGCACGGCCCTAGATTCCCGAGCGCGCGCGCCATCGCCCTAGTCCCGGCGGGCCCATTAGCCGGCTACGGATCCCCGGAGGGGCCCCGTCCCCCCAGCCCAGGAGTGTGGTGAGCAGCCGGAGACCCGGAGCCTCTACGGCATTCCCCTTCACCCTCTTCGGGCCCTGCTTAAAACCCAAGCGAGACAAAATGAAGCGCCTGGGAGGCTCCTCAGTAGGCCCCGGACATGTCTGACCCTTGCAGGTGTCGACTTGATAAGCTCCTGGTTCGGATGCCGAAGGATTGGGGTCCTGAAATCGAGTCTTGCAGAGGAAAGCCGCCATTCTTACCTTGCAAGATGGGAAAGAGAACTAAGGGCCCGGCTTCCGGTCTATAAGCAATCACGGGAGGGGTCGAGTCTCACCTCCTTCCGGGTCCGGGGTATCATGGGAAATGTAGTTTTTGTCTTCCTTAGAAAGACCTACACTCTAGAGAGCTGTTTCTCCTAATAACAGGCGAAGGCGAAAAACCTTTTCTCTGAAACGGCTTCATGTTATGGACCAATAAAATACTCACAGTATTTCTGGGAACCAACATAAAGTTGCAACCTTTTATTTTGCTTACTGAGGTCGTTAGAAAGCACTGCCATTACCCACATCAGGAGGAACAGACGGATGAAGAATCTAATCCCCAAGTAAACTGAAATTTTTTCTATGAAAGGCTAGTTGGGAACCTCCCACGGACGTTTTCTCCACAGCTGGCTTAATGCCTTTATTCCCTAGTCAGACTATAGACTGTGCTCGATGGCAGAGGGTCAGAAAAGCTAGAATTCAAAATGAATAAAATATATTCCTGCTCTCAAAGAACACACATTCAAGGGAAAAACAGAAAATGGACATAAATTCTTTCTTCTGAGAAATTTAGGAATGCTCTGTGGTGGTTTTTGTTTAAGGTTCGGAAGAATAAATACATATTTGGCCCCAGCCAGGTAGCTCAGTTGGTTAGGGTGTGGTCCTGATACGCCAAGGCTGTGGTTAGATCCCCGGTCAGGGCACATAAAGACAACCAATGATGCACAAATAAGTGGGACAACAAAAAACTCTCTTTCAAAAAAAGAAAATCAATAAATTTAAAAAATGCAAATTTGGCAGATGAAAGTGGCCATGGGAACAATAAATGCAAAAGGCAGTTCAGCAGCTTTGTTTAACTTTCTGAGCAAAGCACCTCCTAGAAATTCCCTTTCCAGAAAATGTATAACAAGGGCAGAGTTGTTTTATTGAGCCCCTCAAAAATTGATAGTCTCAGGGACTTTCACATAGTAAATGCCCCAAAGTATTTGTTAAATGACCCACTATTGAAATAGAAGCGTAATGATCTCTCTCGTGTTATGTTGTGGTATTGCAAAATTTAACGTCCTTTCACTGGGCAAAATATAATCGATATACAGTACAGTATTAATTATAGAGTAAACATTAACCACCTGGTTGTGCCATATATAAAATGCTCTTAAATGTGTGCAGTGCTTTATTAATTATAAAGCAGACATTTTTGCAGACATTAAATCATTTTAAGTCTCAGTGAAACGTCCCTATGAGGTAGGAATTTAGAATATAAGAACTGAGGCTCAGTTACAATAAATGACTTATCCAAGGTCACACGTACGCTTACATGGAATCATGTCTCTTGAGTGCCACAGAAAGACAGGAAACAAGTAGGCAGTTGTGATATAGGAACTTAATTCTTGTTTCTATCAGTTAGCCTATGGTTAAATTGGTTCTGTTTTATGTCATTTCACTTAAAGTCACAGTTTCCAAGAACCTACCTAAGACATTAAGTAAGAACTTACCACACTTCACAAACATTAACTCTTATTATTTGTGAACCTACCCTATGGGGTGGGTAGTACTTTGATTAATCCATTTATAGAGAACTGAGACACAGAGTCGAGTGACTTACCTATGGGCTCCCAGGCTGAGCCTTGGAGATAAATAACAACCCCCACGTGATATTGCGTCTTAGAGTTTATATTGGAGGGTGTTTGGTTCTCAGCTAGGAGAGGTGTGCTGGGGGCCGTATAACCTGGACTGGGAGAATCACGGAAGGCTTCCTATCTCAGAGGGCTTGACTTCTAGTCTGAGGCCTGAGGCACAAACTAGAGTTCATGGGGAGGAGGGATCAGGAATGAACCCTCCCAGGAGTGCAGTGGGAACATTGTTTAAAGGCCCTAAGTTGGGAGAGGAAGTAAGAGTTATTCAGCATGACTGGGTCAAAGAGAATGAGGTGAGTGGTGGGAGAGGAAGGGCTGGTGCGGTGAGCAGGAACCAGACCAGATGGTGGTTAAAAAAAATTTTTTTTTTTTTACTTCATCCTAAAGGCAATGGGAAGCCTTTGAAGTATTCAATATAGGGAGTGACTAGATTTGAGTTTTAGATTACTCTGGCTGTTACGTGGAGAATGGATGGGAAAGGGCAAGGCTGCAGGCCTAACATCAATTACAATGTGGTTTGAGTCATCTAGGTGGCCAGGATTTAGGGAGATTGAAAAGAGAAACAGGTTGGGCAACTTCTTGTGGAACATCTATTACCTAGGTTAAATTTGCATATATGAAAGACAATTTAAAAATTTATATTTGTTTGATTTTAGGGAGGAGGAAAGGAGAGAGAAACATCTATTTGTTTTCCACTTATTTATGCATTCCTTGGTTGCTTCTTGTATGTGCCCTGACTGGGATCAAACCCTCAACCTTGGTGTTATCAGGACAATGCTCTGATCAACAGAGCCACCTGGCCATGGCAAAGACAATTTTTATAAGGAGCACATCAGTGCTGAAGAAATTAGCACACTGTGTGAGAGTTCTTTGTGAGTGAGATCGGGAGCATTGAGAGGAAAAAAGTGGGGATTTTGGAGCTACCTAACTTGGGGTGAATTCACTTACTAGATCTGTGGCCTTTAGTGTCATGGGCATAGGTAACAGCTCTACCTTCTTGCTCTGGTCTGAACCAGTATTCTAGTATTCTGGTCTGTTAATGGTCTTGCTCTCCTCATCTGGTTCCTCACAGAGTACCCGGAGTAATATTTTAAAAACACAGAGGTTATATTCCTCTTCTGCTAAAATCTTCCCATTTCACTATTTATTTTTTAATTAAATTTACTGGGGTGACATTAATGAGATTACATCGGCTTGAAGTGCACATTTCTGTGATCCATTATCTGTAGATTGCATTGTGCGCCCCGCCCCCCCCAGTCTAACCATTTTCCGTCTCCATATATTACACCCCCTTTACCCTTTGACTACCCCTCTACCTTCCCTCCCCCTGGTAAGCACCCCTACTGTCTGTGTCTACGAGTTTTTGATTGTTTCTCTTATTTGTTGCTCTCAGTTTTATATCCCACATAGGAGTGAAATCATATGGTTCTTAACTTTTCCTGTCTGACTTATTTCACCTAGCAGGATATTCTCAAGGTCCATTCCCGGTGTTGCCAATGGCAGGATTTCATCTTTTCTTAGGGCTGACTAGTATTCCGTTGTGTCTATATATACATAGCCATCTCCCACCTTCTTTATCCAATCCCCATAGTCTAAAACAGTGCCTAGCAGATGGAAAACACTCAACAGATGCTTTATTATAATAATACGGCTCACAATCACAAAGCACTTACTGCATAGGCCGGGCCTAGTTCTAAGCATCTTACATATTTCATCCTATGAAGAAAATAAAGTTACTGTCTCCATTCTACAGGAATGAAAGGAATGAAGGAACCCGAGGCGCAGAGAAATTCGGCAACTTCCCCGAGGTCGTACAGCTCCCTAAGTGGAGCGGCGAGATGTGGGATGAAATGAATGAAACTCGATTTGGCAGTCGGCGCGGGACTGGAAACCGACGCGGTGGGAGCGGAAGCGATCGGTTCCTGGGGATGCGTACAGCACAGAGCGCACGCCAGGCGGCCCGGTGTCTCACGGAGCCGGCGAGGGAGCTTTGGGAGCCGCCAGGCCGCGTCTCCCCGGAGCCGCCACACTGCCTTCCCCAGGGTACCCGGCCGACTGGAAGCCGGAAGTGGCGGCGGGCGTCGCGCGGGGTGACGTCACGCCGGCGCCCGCGGCGAAGGGCGGGGGGAGGAGGCGGAGCGAACTGTGAGGCTCGGGGGGCGGCTGCACAGTCTCCGGGATCCCCAGGCCTGGAGGGGGGTCTGCGCGCGGCCGGCTGGCTCTGCCACCCCCCACGTCCGGTCCCGAGCGGGCCTC